TCATACCTTATTCCCATGGACATAAACCGTCTTAATTATTTATTTGGGAAACTTACTTACCTATAAAATATATCATTTGATGTGAAAAACAGAAATGCCTACTAAATTTTCTAGAACAAAACGCAAAAAGAACAGTTTTTTTTTTTAATGGATCTAAATATTCTAGAACGATCTAACATGACAATGTTGATGTTAGTAACGATGTTCTTCAAAGAGTACAGATAGCTTATGTTTTTTTTTTAATATATTTATAGCTTGGCACTGTTTGAACTGCATCAGCCTAATTTAAGTTCTCTCCCGGTATCGAAGCTTGTTCACCTCTCACATAACGATAAAATCTTCAACATCCCATGAGGTGTCAAGCTTTTTTTATAGCTACCAACATATTTTTGATCAATTACAGCCTGCGTGCGGATGTTTTGTGGTAATTAATTTATTGTAACATCGCAATTGCATTCTTAAACCTCTTCCAAAATAACCCTTGCTAAACTCGGCTTGGAGATTATCTTTGGGTGAGTAGCTTTTTCTTTCTACTTTTGCACATGACGATATTGCAAAACGAAAAAATCCTTAGCGTTGGTAACATCGGCTTGACGTCAGACCTACTTCTTTTAAAATAAAAACAAAATGCCACAGTTTCAATTTGCCACCACAAACATGTTGCAGAGACTGGAATAGAGAAAAAGCGTGTGGTCGACCTCTCTTTTAAACCTGCTCCATTCAGAAACACAACGCCCAATCAGCTATCAGGAAGTGCAACACTACACGCAAACATTAAACGGCGCTTAATTCGTAACAAAACAATTATTCTCTTTAATTAATACAGTGGAACCGAGGCACAGGCCACGTGAATTTGGTTTGGCATCAAAAACAAACAAAAAATAACATTGAACTTGAAATGTTGCCAGACTGGCTTCAATTCCACACATTTTTTTGCAAGGCAACACCACAAAGTTGCTCCATATTCACTCCAACTCTAGCTTGACCTTTTCCATTAATGACAATACAGAAAAAACTGGAACTACTTCTGTATTTTCTGGTCCGCGATTAATAAATAAATACTTGGCAATTAATATTGCCTAGAAAGTGAATATTTATCAAGTGAATTAATCACATCACACTAACTACAAGTTAGACATAATCGTGCGAAATAGTGCGAAATACGTACTTATCACAAGTATGCACCCATGGTACCTTCTTATAGGGAAATAATAATATCTAAGGCTATACCCGTAACATTACCTAAGTTAGATATAAATACCTTTTGTTGTTTTTTTTGTCGAATTCAGAGTGTCAGATTCTTACTGACTAAAAACCCTTCCGTTCCTTCTCCTGCTTAAGACCGAGGCCGCAGTGCCTCATACCTCTGTAGGGCCCCGTCTGTGGTGATCTATTGGCTCAACAGGCGCTTTAGCCGATAAACTGCTGTTGTACATATACAAAAATATAAATACCTATCTTTATACTAATAATTAAGTAGATATTAGGTAGATGCCTAAGATTCTGTATAACAAAATTCGCAACTATATCTCTATGTATAGATAGACATGGGTAATATTTAAATTATTTGTGTAAGTAGGTATGAGTATATTTATCGTTTCCCATTAAAACGGGATTTCATCTATTAGCAGATTCAAATTAGTAACCGTTTTCTCCTTTTATTATGCCGAGATAAATGTTAATTTTTGAATACTTAAATATATTTATTTATTTTAGTTCAAAAGTGTGTCGTGTGTTAACGAGTTTTAAATTAGAACATTAATCTTTATTTATATAAAATGATTTATACAAAATTCAACAAATGTATTTTTGGAGTAGCCTGAATGCATCATAACGTAGCACAGAGTCAAAATCGTTTTATGCGTAAATAGATAATAATATTAATAATTATTCAATGTACCTAGGTAACCAATAAGTACATGTTTTGAATTGAAGTACCTACCTATGTGATGAAACGTGTATATATGTATGAATGTCAAATGGTATCTATTATATTAATTCCATATCGAACGGACATGCGACACCGAGAAAACCCTTTTGTCATTAAAGACAGAGACGTTTCGAGATGACTAATAAGAATTAGTAATTAGTTCACACGTTGTCTGTCACACCCTCGTGCGGTTAACCAGTTCAATGATCCGCAGGTATAGAGCACCATAACACAACACTATTCGGCATTCAGCCTCTAAAAACACCTGCTGTTATAGACAAAATAAGTCTATAAAATCGTTTAAAATATCGATAGATCACATTTTATTACAAAATAAAACATCATTTTTTTATTTTTTATCAAACACTCAATTATAATAATCCTGAATAATAAGTTAATAACTAATCGATTTTTATTTACGATTCTTATACCGATAACATCGAGAAAAGGTCAACAACCATAAAGTTCTCGAATAGGAGGATAGAAAACTATATTAACAAGATAATATTTTAAAAAGCGAATGCGACACTACTTAATGTTTAAGAAAAAATCGCGAGCATTTCGTGACTCGCCAAAATGGCGAACGAAATTTACATTACAAAGCGTAAAATTAACATCTGCCATTCTTTTCTGGTGTAGTAGGGCTGACAATTTTAAAATCCTTGTTATCCTATGATTGGTACCGTCATCCTTCAAAGCATTGGTAAGGTGTTTGAGAAATCTGTCGTCGCTAGAATTATTGAATCTAAACGTAATAAACAATTGTGAAAAAAAAACACATTCCAAGAAAGATTTAAAGACTAATCTTAACAAATTGCAAAATTGCCAAGTTGATTCGAAAATACAGCAATCAGTTGTCGTTTTTAAAAATAGGTTTTATTACCTATCAAAAATAGCTCATTTAGTTATGTATTTACTTAGGACAAACGGAAGTAAAGCATTGATATCACACATGAATATAATAGAAAGAATTGATAAAAAGTACATAGATATTTTTTAACATTGCGAAGCACTGATGTATTTGCTTTGCGCAATAAAAAATACTAATATCCATGTGAAACCCGTGGTTGCGCGATCAGCGCAATGTGCAAAGCAGGAGAAGGAACGGGGGGGTTTTAGCCAGTAAGAGTCTGACACTCTCTCTCTCTCTCTCTGGGCTTACCCTGGGCAGGAGAAGTCATTTAATGATTTTACTCTGACAAAAAAAACATACTTATAAAACAATTTCTTCCACAACATACAATCTACTAAGTAGAAAAATATATGAAAATTCTGCCTCCAAGTTTCGTAATACACGCTCAAGAGTGTGCATTGCATGTTGCATTTATTTTGAGCTGTTTGACATAACTACAATCAGTGACATAAGTCGGGCGACGCAGGCGCATAGTGTGGGTGCAAATGTGTAGACAATGTCACACTTGTGGGCTTAATATTCTTAAGAACGTGCTGCCAAGTGTTGTATGAAGCCCACATCTCTAAGTTACAACGGAATCGAAAATATTTAGAGGGTATTATGTAGCGTATGAAATTAATTTAAAAATATTACTTAAGTACCTACAGAATTTTTGCTTGTTTAAGGCGAAACGTTTTCCTGAAACCACCTCATTTCGCCTCCTGTAGGCCTACCATGAAGGTGGTAGGCCCTCTGCTCCGGATCGAAGCCGCAGTAAATGATTGCGCTTAAAACCACCCAGAGTAGGAGAAGGAACGGGGGGTTTGTCAGCATTTTTCACTCAGTACGTGTCTGCCACTCCCTTCCGCCCGAACCTGGGCGGGAAAAATCATTTGATGATTTTCCCCTCACAAAAAAACGTCGACATTAACAGCATATCGGTAAACACTGGAATCTAACTAAATCAAAGTGTGAGAGGAGTACTTACTAAATGGTTAGGTTAGTCCGTCATATATAGTACCTACCTACGACGACTCACCCCTCACCTTGAAGGCAAAATGTCCTTTATTAACTGAGTAAATAAGCTTGTAAATATTTACAGCCTAAGTAAATTTATTCTTAGGAACCTACTTATAGCTCTCTCGGTCTACCGTCGTCTGTTAAAACCTCATGCGTGCGTTTCGCGTTCTTTTTTTATTTTTCTTATTTATTTTACGGTGTTATATTACCTACCTACCATTCACTTTGACAATGTATATTTAGCACGCTTACGTCGATAAACTTGAACGGATAGTTTATTTATGTAAAGTTTGTCAACCATAAGCTTTTAAAAGCATTCTTCAAATTCCAAATGACAGTTAATTGCGAGAATAATGTCCAAAAAAAGCAGCTAAGTATTCTAGTCAGTTAGTTTTTTTGCACCTTACAGAGGTCATTTATCTAACAAGATTTTTCTATTCTACCACCGTACAATAGAGATGACAAAATCTTTGACCACGTGCAGTAACAAGGCCCTGGCGTCATTACGTGACAGCCCTACGCGATAGGTATCACATCACACGAAATGGACGGAGATATTATCATCTTTTTTAAAAATGAAAATGTCAGCCGCTATAAGTTGTTTTAATATTATTACCAGTCCTCGTTTGTTTGTCAATTCTGTTGTTCTTTTGTTTATTAGCTCTGCTATCAGACCCGGTTCCCGGTGCTTAATCGACTCTCGACTTTTTTTTAATGGTAAAATTTAAAACCTATATTTTTATGTTATAAATATTCATATTATTGTCTTAATATTATGTCTGAGACTCGAATAAAAATAAATTATGAGAAATTATTTATACTTAGATGATTTTGTCTTTGTCGGAGAGGTAGCTTTCTTCTTTCTTGCAATAGGTACATTAGTAAATATCTTCAATGCACATAATTTAAGAGGCCAATAATTCAGCCTTAATTTTATGTTTATAACAATTTAACAACATAAAATAAGCAAGTGACAAGATAATAGTCGAGATGCCTTTAAAATGCCCGGAGCTCATCGCTCAACGCAATGCATTTAAATTAATTTCGAAGCACATAAATAAGTAGGTAGCTGCATAACACAAATGAATGCATAAACTTTATTGTCTTGGCAAAGTCGTAACTTTATCGAAGTTATAGATGCGTAATTTCTAAACTCACCTTGTAAGAGAACTCCAAGGAAACAAATCACACAGCCTTGTTATCACTAAAATCCCGCTTGTGGTGCACGTGGTACTGGCACAAGTATTATAGAAACACCGAAATTGAAAAGAAAAACAAATGAAAAACTGTTCTAAATTCAAACGGCGCGCGAAACCACAGAAATGTGTCAGTGGCGCGTCGCGGCGGACGGCCTAGGCACTAAACGTGTGTAGAATTTTGAATAGTAAAAATGGTGGGGACCAAAATCGAATTTATCGAAATTTTGAGGACGGTAGTGTCGCATCGGTGGCGAGGTTTTGAATGGCGCGGCGGGCCGCTGTACATCCGAGACTGGCTAACAAAGCGGCAGGACATCGACTTTATAAATTGATTTTGTCCAACACGGCGTAACTGTACCTCGCTGTAGATTCGGCTAAAGAAGTAGGTACTTACTACGATGCCCTTACCAATTAGAGTCGATTAGATACTTAATTAGAGCATTATCGCTAACAACTTACATTATTTGGAACAGTTGTAATAATTTTCCAATGTTATTAATTTATTAACTACAACTCTTTCATAAGACAAGACCTATTTAAAACTTGGTTCTAATACACAACTATACCTATAAAGTAGGTATATCTAAAGCAGATTATATTTATTTAAGCCATGATAACATGCACATACAACATCTAAGTGAAGGCAAATATTTAAAAAGCTGTTTTAATTTCTATCACACTAAGTACTTAATATCTGTAGACATTGGTTTAAATTGATACGACATAGATATGTACCTACCTTTTTGTGTCTACCTTAAGGCGCCCGCTTCCCATGCAAGAGGGTGCGGGCCCAAACCTTTTTTTTGTCAGGGTGAAAATCTACAAATGACCTCTCTAAGGCGAGAGAGAGGTTGAGACTTTTACTGACTAAAAATGGGGGTTTTTAGGAGGTTCCTTCTCCTGCCTGGGCCTAGGCCGCGGTGACTTATTGCGCTTAACCCGTCTCTGGTGGTCTATTGGCTTTTTGAGGCACGCGCGGAACGCTACGCGCCTTCCACTCGGGCCTGGATCTGGTCGGGGGCAAGCAACCCTTACTCGCCATCCGCAGACCCGCGCTTACGGTGGCTGGGGATGTGGCTGGGGATGTGGCTGTGGATGTGGGTGGCTTTCGGCGGGTGCGAAACCCGCAAGTACCAATGTGCCTTGTTCCGCGTTATATGTAGGTACTTCCTATGATTATTTAGACACCCATTGCAAACATCGTAAATCAACGTGGACTCCTAAAATTTCTAATTATAAGTTTGGAATCACCAATCCGCTTTGAGCAAGCGTGGTGATTAATGCTCAAACCTTCCCCGTTTGAGAAAAGACCTTTGCCCAGTAGTAGGCACATATAGGCTGATGATGTGTGTACCTTTTTGGAAACACATTAGAAGTTCATCATGACTCTATCAGCTACAGTTGGAAACCATCTTCCCCCTAGTTCCAGTAACTTCCAGTAAAAAGTATATAAACATTATCAAGTGTTCTTCTGACCACCTTTAAAGGGACGTACCAGTTTTTTTTTTTTTTTTGGTGGACCAATTAGTTACTTCTCCCGGCTTGGGTGAGAGTGTTAAACATTTATCTTCTGCATAATAATAGTCATTCTTCCAAAATTACACCAAACTGGGAAAGGTCACAATACAAATCTACAACGGTAATGCCGTTTACAAACTTTCAAACTTCCACAGCAAAGAATATTTTAATATCTAAAGCACTCTTACAATGCGCACCTACGCATTTAATCTATAAAACAAATATTTGTTCTGTGCTGACCACAAAGGTGCTGATAGACCAGTAGCTTACCATAAAGGTTTAAACTAAATTAGCTGCACTCTAATGGTCAATGACGGGCAGGTAAACAGAGGTCAAGAACTGGTAAATAGTTTGAGTCATGCATGAATAAACTGGCCAAAACCTAGGAACAAATAACAAACAGGACTTAACACGTAAGTGGCTTTGTAGATACCTACTTACTTAAGCAAAAAGTGAAGTAAGTACTTTTCAAAGTATTAGATTTTCTTTTTGTCTTCGTTTTTGCAATCAAAGCAGCACGTCGATTCTATAAAATCTGTTTGATTTTGAATCTTGTTCGAGTGTGAATTGAGTGGCGGAGTGACGGGGAAATTACATTATAGAATGCCACTTTTAACGTCATGTCATACGTACTTTATCTAAGTATTAAAATGTTGCGGTCAATTTAGTTCAAATCGCAAGTGTAGCGCTAGCGTAGCGTAGCGTACTCACGCTTGGCAGGCCGTAGTCACCTTCTGTGAAACTGTTATGTTTCAGAAGGAAACTGCAGAGAGAGATCGAGAAAGGATAGACCCAAGTCGGAGACAAAGGAGGCGTCGTAGGAATCGCCGTAGAATTTAGCTCCGAAAAGATAGGAGGTAGTAACATCGTTTGAGGGTCGCAGGTGAGTTCGTTTATTCGAGAACCCAGTGACCCTCTCATTGTTTTCTGGGATTGAGTGTGTGGTTTTAGTCGGTAAGAGTCCGACATAAGAAGAGTCCGGCTCTTGTCTAGACAAAGGGTATCAATGAGGATTTCCACACGTTAAAAAAAGATACTTCTACTCACAGCGGATTCAGATTCGAAGTTTAGAATGAATAAGTCTTACAGAATCACAACTGCAGCACTCAAATACTTGGGTAATATCTAACTGTAACAACATGGTAATTTTATTCCTAAACAAGATTTCTTGCTACTTTTTACAAGTATTGGTAAGTACCTAGGTACTTATGTGTAGACCCTACAAAGACGGCAGGTAACAAAACGGAAAATTAAAATTTAACAGTAGATACATCAGCCGGGGTTGCGTGGCAAGCCCAATGAGGTACCGCAGCTTCGGCCCAGTGCAAGAGAAGGAACGGGAATTTTTTAATCAGTAAGGGTCTGAAACTCCCTCTCGCCTCACGAGTCTGGCCGGGAGAAGTTGATGATGATTTTGACGTTCCAAAAGTACCTATTTATGGTATAGTTGGAATAAATGATTTTGATTTGATTTGATTTGAGGTATACCTATCGTCTAATAGTGACGACAGTTACGAATAGCGTAATATTCCTATATCTAAAGTAACAAACGGTTAGCGTTTGGTACAAATAGGTAGCGTCTCAAAAAGGTACTTACTCCTTTATATAGGTACATCACATGTCGCCATCACTCGCTCTTTCTATGAGGAATAAATAATCACAATTAATTCTCCGAACCTTGACGATCATTGTACAACACCCACAGATCACCAGATTACAATCTGCAAAAAGTGCCGCGGTTTACCATCAACAAGTCATAATCTAACTTTTTTATCTATAAGTATCTAAAAAACACCCGCATTAGTTATGATGACTTATGTTGAACTTTATTAACACTTGTTCAATCGGTAAAGAATTCGGCAAAAGAGTAGCATCTCAATAAATCTGACGATAGTAATCAAGACGTGCTTTTTGGCGTTTGGCCCAAGTTATAAGACAATATTAGAAAAAATTAAAACTTCAAAACTTCATCGAAATTAATATTCGTACTAAATTAATTATTTGTAAAACACATTTAAATCAAAAATAAAAAGTAGTTAAGTAAAGTTTTATATGTATATTATGTATATATATTTTTTTATAGATTTATATGTATCTAGATGTAGATTTTTTATGGCATAGATATAGGTTTCGGCGAACGAGCAGGCGGATTACCTAATGGTAAGTAATAAGCGCCACCCATGGACACTCGCAATACCAAATGAGTTACCTTTACCTACTACACGTTGCCAGCCTCTTGGGGGTTATTAGGGATGTACCTAAGGGATAGGGATTTGAGAATTGTGAAGGGGGAGGGGGAAAGGATTAGGTCTCCGGTAACCTATTATTAGATCGACCAGACCTCATCTGTGTACCTTTTGAAAGAAATCCCTAATAGCCTAACGTCAACAGGCAAAAAGCGTTTATCTGCAGAACTTTCTGCAGGAAAAACGAAAAACATTATTTTAATACACGGCCTTCATCAATTATGCATTGAGATCAAGAGCGACCTAATAAGCAGAGATAGTTGGCACAAGTGCTCACTGTAATCTGTAAACAATATAAGTACAATGCTCTTACGTAACATTCTAATATCGTATGCGTCTATACATGTATGTATTATGTAGGTAGGCACGTAAATAAATAACATAAACTGTACGTAGAGGTCGAATATGTTATGCAGGTAAGTTTTAACTAATTTATAAAACTATTAAAGAATGTCCATTGATTATCTATCACGCTATAGGTACCTTTTCACATATCTACGTAACTGTCTAACAAGGTAACTGGACCAGTTTCAAACCACTGAAACGCTGTGGCTCATTCTCATGAGCAGCATTGCGCGATAGAAGAATAAGAAAAAGAAAAAGCGATAGAAGTGGTGGAGAGCCATGCTTCGGCACGAATGGGTCGGCTCGACCGGAGTGATACCACGGCCTTACAGAAAACTGGCTCTAAGCAATATTTATGTTGTTTCGCCGTATGAGTGAGGTTACCGGAGGCCTAATCCTTTTCCTTCTCCCCCCATCGTTAATCTGCAAATCCTCTATCTTTAAATCCCTAATAACCCACAAGAGGTTGACAACGCACTTGTAGTAACTCTTTTGGTAATTTTAACGTGAAAACACAATGATATTAATGAATAAAAATAGGTATAATTTAAGAAATTAGCTTTACAGTACAAAGCGCGTGAAAACAATTTTTCTTCATCAGACAACCCCGACCTAGAGAGGGGGTGCTCGCGTTAAAATGTTTTGCCCCGCCCTCGCTTAGTAGGAGTTTATTCCTATCAGTACCTATTACGAGTGTCCATGGGCGGCGCTAATTGCTTACCACCAGATAATCCGCCTGCTCATTTGCCGATCTATCGCATAAAAAACCTCACAGAAAACCGGCGTTAATCAGCCGTTGTGTTTCGCCATGTAAGTGAGGTTACCGGAATACCGGAGCCCCTCCCCCCCCCCCCACTCCAATTAAATACTTAATAATCCTTAAATATCCAAAACCCTTATCCCTAAAAGGCCGGCAAGGCACTAATAACTCCTATGGTGTTGCGGGTGTCAATAGGTACGCCAATCTCATAGACCTATAGGAGATAGACACTTTTGAATGTTAAAAAAAATATATCAAAAGTCATAGCCAATTGAAGATTTTCCCGCCTAAAGACAAAAAAGCCGTTAAATATAATTAATTCAATATCTCTAACGAGAGCCATGTATGACGCACACAAATGTGAGAAGACCATCTCAAAAAATAAATACCTAAATTCATACATAAAATTTCATAGGCGCGCTAATTTTAAAATATCTAATAATACCACCATTTAAAGGTTAATTTTAAAAGGACGTTAGCGACGTTAAACTCGTTCATTGACATCAAAATTAAATAAACATGTGAACATCATAAACAAAACAGAGAAATATTAGTTGGCCATAAATCAGTTTGTACCTTGTACCACGCCCGAAATATATGCAAATCAGGCCGATTATCTTGTAAGCCAAAATCAACATGAGCACGAATTTTGTACATGTCTCAACCAGTACATTAAGTAAGACAAAGCCATGGACCAGCTCGACTGTAGTGATTCCACGGCCTCACAGAAAACCGGTGAAAAACGCTCACGTTGCGTTTCGATCAGATAATGCACGTTTTTAGGTATATGATTCCTGTTCCATAGACTGGACCTACGACTTAGATACGGTACACACTTTTAGGCTTTTACTACTATAATATAACCCATTTTTCGATGCAGGGGCAAACTTTTTTCGTATTGAGCAGGAATTTAATTTTAGCCGCCATCTCGCCTTGTAATGCGATGATGCTACTTACTATCGACCACGCCTACCGATAAGCAACCTATTTTTTAGATGTTATAAATATCTCAATCTCAAATATATCTTTTTTAAGTTGTAAACTTACCACATAACCAGGTGAATATATAAGTGCTGAGCCACGCATGCTCGACAACCCTGCGTTTGTTTGACAGTCCCATAAAATTGCATTGTTCATGAAGATACTTTTTTCTTCAATTTACGTCTTCATTTTCGGATAACGGATATTGAGATGATTACGGCTTTGATTTCGTGTAACTCCACAGTAATTTGCATAAGAACTGGCTTACAAATTTGCTTTTGCATTCAGAAGACAAAGAGCTGTGTTTTCGAGAAATGCACACTGGGTGTTGCCGTTGTTTTTTCGTTTCGTTTTTTTTTCGTTTACGACTTCATCCACCTTTATAATACTACCTTGTTATATGTAGGCATACATAATATATTTATTTGGAAAATATGTAATTTATTATTAATCATTACCACACATCCCTCTCTACATAGAGATTCAGCAGCAATTTAGGAACAAATAAAACAAAGTCTCACTTATAGTACATAATATAATTAAAAGATCTTGTCTCAATATCATTTACATACGTAAAAACGTCTCATACTATTTACATCTCAATTCACAACTCATTTACAATAATAAATCACAAAAATATATATAAAAAAAATCTGAAATAAAATGGACAGTAGAAAATTCACTCCATTTACATAGAACCTCATTTGATCATATACTACACACTGTACACTATTTACAATATTTTTTTCAATACTGCATCTTGAGTTGTCAATTTTCCTTGGCTGAGCCAGGTGGAAGACACGTAGTGCCTAATAAGCATAATGAATGCTCTTAATATGTACATGTCTGGCTAGTTCAAACTAAATAACTTTAATAATCGAAAGCGGAGGCCGAATATTTTGACATTATAAAGAAACAGATTTTTCTAATACGCCGAACATTAAAATGCTATTTAATATTAAATTGCACTTCGTGTTATGTTAACTGTACAGAATCATATACTTACATAAAAATGCATTTAACATAACATTACCCTGATCTGATTAGCATTATGTATTTGGGCGTCACAATGAATGATAACATTATCGTCCACAATAGTTTCAAATAGAGGTACAAAAACGTTTTTATTTAAAGCGTTTCTGTTTAATTTTCAAAACAATTTTACTGTATTATTTTTAAATGCGAAAGTAATTTATTTGTGATTAATTGCACTTAGAATCTAGTTGGTAAAAACTAGAAAATTAGCAACAGTTTTAATTATATGTTCACACAACATTACTAAGAAACACTAATACAATTTATTTAAAAACGGGAGACCTCCAGATTCTATTGGGACACAAAATTTATATTTTTATTATAAATAACACAAACAAACAATACATACGACAAAGTTGTGCAGTTTTGAGATCATAGTCAATGTAGGACCAGTAATGTTGTACCATGAAATCAAAGATATGGGTGAGATCTATAGCGTTATATTTTATATCCATAACTATGAATAACAAAAGTTTCTTTGGAGTCTTGTAGGATCGTAGTCCGGTAGAAAGAATATGTTTGACAAGTCTAACAGAGCTCTGGGATTAATGTAAGTTGAGAAAAACATAAATAATACCAACTGAATAAAAAGCCTCCTGCCTTTGGAAGTTGGTTACATAATCAATATTAAAGTTTGAATGCAAGGAAGAGATAGAAACTATGAATTGACAACTTCCAGAGAAGGAAAAGTGTGCACTATTTTGAGCTAATCATATGTTCCATTGTTTTTCTGCATTGTATATAGTTTTATATACATGACCTAAAGACCCCAAATGTTAACTCAGTAATTAAGTAAACTTGTTGTCATTTGTTCTTTAAGTTCGTGGTAGAGTGTATCACCACATAGAACAATTAAATAACGAAAACACATTAACTTGGTGAAAAACAATGTCAACACTATTTTTGAGGAAATTGAAACAAATCAATAGTAGTATTTCAAATAAAATTTCATAATTTCAATCTATTGTTATCAATAAGATAATCACAATTGATTTACCAAGACACGACACGTTTGTAAGAAAGAAATTAAATAAAACCATAGTCCAATTATGATGCCAAACAAATTAAGAAACTATAAACATGTGTTTCTACAATTTGGCAACACCATACAGATTACAAATAGTTTAAATTTTTATTAAATGGGAACCGATTGAAGATTAGCTTTCTCTGTTCTCCAACGATAGTAGGCGGAGGTGATTACCTATGCTAAAAGAAATTATTGCTATCTTTTTTTCTTCCGTATCAAGGCAGAGACAGCTTTATAACAGTTTGAGACATATTCAAATTAATATTGAACTTTATCTATAGTTTTTACAACTATAAATAGAGTATAAAACAAATAAAAAAGAATTTTGCAAATCGGTCCAGGCGTCTCAGAGTAATCGGTATACGTACATAAAAAAAAAATACGCGTCGAATTGAGAACCTCCTTCTTTTTTTGAAGTCGGTTAAATATAAATTGTGTTTATTACATGATGGGATCCATAAGAGATGAAAGTATCCCACAAATATATATATATATATATGTGTGTGAGTGCAGGACATGTTCTCTCGAAGAGAAATTAATTTGAAATTGTTTTATAATCTACATACAATTCATACAGAGTTCCAATTTGACAACATTCTGTCTTTATCTCCATCAACTTGCAGAAAAAAGATAGCAACACTAATTAATTCTTAGTTGTTGGACAACAGAGTTATAAAAAAATGATGAAACATTTATATACATGTATTTTCCTGTTGCACTCACTCTGCTTGGCAGCCAATCACTCCACACGCTAGCGTATGCACTAATAATGTAGCCTAGGTCCGTCTGTACAGTCTATGAAGCTCTCCGCTTTAATGTTATTTTCCCGCGAGCTAACTGAGATATGTATATCCGTACTCGCTCCACATTGTTCTTCTTTACCACTATCTGAAATAAGAAATAGATCACATGAAATATTTGGAATTGAAAATACGCTGTTTAAGTTTATTTATCTAACATAGATTTACGAACACATACACCACAACAGTCTTAGAACGCACGTCCCACACAAACATCGCTCAAAGACTGCCGCATCTGGAAATGTGTTCACGACAAACTCAAAAGGCAGCCATTTTCATAGGCTTTTTTGAAACTTTGGAAATATTGTACACTATTACATAGTACATATAAACTAAGTCGCGTTCTCTGTCCCTATATCTCTATGTGCGCTAAAGACTTTACAGCTATGCAACGGATTTTGATGAGTTCTTTTTAGTAGAAGAATTGAAGAAGAATTATTTTATATACATAATTATAACATACATAAAATAATAGAGGATTTTAAAGTATAATCAAAGACATTGTAATACATACCGCCTCGTCAGTGATGGCGTGTATATGTCCGGGGAACTTGGGCATATCGCGTCCCTCCACGGAGACGCTCTGGCCGCGATGGTACCACCGACGCTCGTACAGCAGCTTGCCATCCTCCACTCGTGTTTCCGTCGTTTCTCCACTGTCTCTGACTGGAGAATCACCTGGAAAGCAACAATTTATGATTATATTTTTTTTATATTCTGAAGTGAATTTATTTGAAGCTAAATAATTTTACAAATTATACACTTTACAAGGCTAAACTCAAAATTCATATCATTTCGATTTTACAATAAAATATTTAATAATTATCGCACTTCAATTGATTCATTTTATGAAATAATAAATATTCGTATTTCATATGCAGATTTTCAAGAAATTAGTATGCTGTAAGCGAAAAAAACATGACATTACAACACATATTGCCTTGCAAATACTTAAAAAAAACTAAGATATTGATATAAGTATTGAAATTGGGTAGTTGTCAAGATAAAAAAAAAATATTACTGTACTGATAGTAAAAGTTTTTTTTAATTAGCTTTAATAATTTTATGGGAAACGGTACACGGCAAATGCCTACTACTAAGTATGTAATTTTCTCCAACAAAAAATTTATATCCGATACTCACAACTACTCGAATTTAAATGCTTCCTGGGTTGCGTGGAGTTGTGCGCTGGCGCATGATGCCTGGGTGGCGGTGAATGCCGCGAGATGGCGCGGAGGTCTGCCTCGATGTCTCGCTCATCCAATTGGAACGTTAGCGTTGTCGTGAGGGGTTTCCGCCGCTTCTCAGGCGCAGGCGCAGGCTCATTCGCACGCCGTCTGAGAATTCGCTTCATCACCGGTTTCACCTGTAGACATAGGATTTTATTAACATCTCGACGCGATTGTATATACATTTCAAAATGTATTAGAAAAAAATATATTTTATAATTTTTTTCTAATAAATTTCAGTGAAACTCTTATATGCATATTAATAGAGACACTTTGAAATGCAGTAATGCTCTTACCTCCATAGAATCTCCATTTAATTCCATACTATGCCTCTCACTCTCAATCATTTTTCTCTTGTCCTCAAAGTCATTTAATAAGTTTTCCCTTAACTCTATCTTCTTTTCTTCAAACTCTTTCGCCGCGGCCTTCTTCTCTGCTATGTACTCTCTTTCTACTACATCATACATGTGTTCCCTGTGACAAAAAAAACACAGTACAATTAATTTATTGATTTAAGTGTGGTAGAGCCAAGCTATGGCACGAATAGGTTGACTCGACCGGAGTGATAGCACGGCCAAAACAGAAAAACGGCGCGAAACAACCACAGCGTTGTATTTCGCCGTGTGAGTGAAGTTACTGGAGGCCCAATACCTAGCCTTCCCAATACCTAAATGTGCGAAATCCTTATCCCAAACAGGCCGGCAACGCACTCCTAACTCCTTTGGTGTAGCTGGTGTCCATAGGCGGCGCTGATTCTTACTAACAGGTAATTCGTCTGTCGGCCGATTTTTTTATGGGATAGCTTGGAAACTTGTAGTCAGATCAAATGATCGTAAACAATCGACGCCACCCTTAGATGTTCTTAAGACCAAAGGAGGTACAAGATTTAAGGATAGGATATTTGGGAATTATTGACGATGAAGATGGGGTAAAGGATTGAACCAGTAACCTCACTCACACGGCTAAACACGTAAATATTGTTTCGCGCCGGTATTCTGTGAAGTTGTGGGAACACTTCGGCTGAGCGTATCAGTAGAACTATAAATATTTTTAATGCTCGTAATAAATTAGGTATTCTAGTTTGCTGATCATTTGTGAACACAAATCCTAATTGTGTATGAAGTTTTAACTGGTCTGATATTAAATCTGAAAGATTCAATCTGGACTATTCAACTTCATACTTCTGGAATAAGACGTTTTTTTTTTATTTTGGAACCTGCCTTTATCATTTGATTAACACCGAGAGTGATGGTATTGTGCTGTTTACAAACCTATATATTTTATTTATTCTGATCCTCTCATTTAGTTGATGTTCTAGCCTCTTGACCCTCCTCAAGAATTCTGGATGAATGCCATCTTCAAGCTGCTGCAGCTGTTTCTTCAAGTTTGCCAATTTGTCTTGGTATAATCTGAAAATATTAAAATTACCATGATAGAATGTTCTCAAATTATTCCATTATGATAAGATATTTGAATATTAATTATTTTTGTTTCTGAAAACTGTTGGAAGTACATTTTAATATTACTGTCTACTTGTTAGTTATTATAATTCCATGTTACTTAAGATAACTATACTTTATGTTTAATATTAAAATTTTAGGTACTAAACGCTAGGTAATTTTTGGTTATACATATTTAGTTTAATAAATAACAAAGTGTGTCAACATACTGTTCTTTGACTTCAAGCGGCTCATCATTGTGGGGTATGTCTGTCTCGCTTGCTTCTTCTGTGTCTGTAATTAATATAACATAGGTATATAGAAAACTAGCTTCTGCCAGCGGCTTTGTCCGCAGTGCCAAGTGAAAAATCTTTGACTTACTTCAGACAATCATCTATCTCTGTGCCAAATTTAATTCACATGCATCCAGTAGTATTAACATAAAAGAGTAACAAAGATTCATCCATCTATTTATACTAACTCTCGAGATTATATTATTAGAAGGATTCTTGTACTATAAAATGGTAGTTTCTAACTAGTCAACAATTCAATACTTTTATACAAATGTCAAAAACAAAACTTTTCTATCAAATTTGAATGAAACCCTTAAATTATGACGTCATAGTATTTTTGCGTCAAATAGAGCTTACTTGTTACTCAAAAAGTAGCCAAAAAATATAGATAATATTGTGTATTGACAGATCAATGAATGTAATGAATTAGTTATTTTTCGATATTTTATTGGATTAACACATCAAATACTTTTTTCTTTCACTTAGGGAACTACTCAATAATTGATGATCCATTTAATATTCATATTTTTTACAATTCACAATTAATTAGCAATCTATTATTTAATTACAATATAACATCACAAAATGCAATTTCACACAAAATTTTTGGTTTTGGCGTTTATAAAAAAATAAATTTGAATAGTTGAAATATATGACCATAGTACTTGGCTCTTGTGTGACTTAGGGCTGATTTTTCAGTAGTCAGATAAATGTTATCTGAGGAATAAAATTGTTGCTGTCACTGTCTTATAGAAACATTCTAACAAGTCAGCATCATAATTGTTCCCCAGGTAACTGTTATCTAACCATTGAAAAATCAGCCTTAAATGGAGAAAATTATTTAAAAAAGAACTAACAAATTAATTTTTCTCATAAAGTTGAGTTTACTGGACTAAAGCTAAGCCTAAGTTCAACAAATAAAAGTCTTAGCCTTTCAGAAATATGTATTTTAGTCAGTATAGAAATATATGAAAATGCATTTTTTTAAATATTGAATAATGATAATATTTTGGAAAAAGAAATTGAGGCAGAACACTAAGGAGGTGGGATAGTGACATATGACAAGTTGCAGGAACAACATGTGCTAGAGTGGCCATACAAAGGCCAGAATGGAGAAAGTCAGGCCACATCGCAAACTGACAATCAAAAATGGGATAAAGGGAATATCAATGAATTTTAATATACTGTTAAAGCAATATTGTACTATATAAAATAAAGGCTAAAAATAAAATATTTTCGAATATTTTTGTTTGACACAGGAAGCTAAATAAATTCATTACTTTTTTATCTATGAATTCTGTTATCTTGACAGATGTGGCAGTATTGATATGAAATGCTTGGATAATGAAATAAAGTTAGAAAAGTTCAAGTATAGTTGTTAGTTAATTGTAAATCAATCTGTAATGAGCTTTTCTAACCTTTCAGTCATGGTAATAGGCAACACAATAGACAAACAATAGGTGCATTCTTGATGATTGATTAATTAAGATGTGTTTGAGTTCATTCATCATCATCATCTGTTTAGTTCATCTGTTCAGTTTTTCTTTAGTTTTCATTTATCATACCTGATTTGGGGCCTTTAATAATCAAAACATTACTTTTATTTTATATATATTTCAATCAGAGTGGGATGTCAGTATTGCCTTAAAATTTGAACACAAAATGGCTTGATGTTTGTAATAAAAATTTAACATTATTTAATCAGAAAAAGTGTAATTTTTGTGTGTTATTTTGCTCTCATTTTTAAATATATATTTGGGAGTATAATAAAACTAAAATGTTGTTGGTATATAATGATTTTTCACATACACAAGATGAGTAACAGTAGTGATATTATTTACACTATTATTGGTTACTTTTCATAAATGGATAAATGGCAAAGTTAACAAGTTGGTATGATCAGGGCATTTTAGTGATTAAGTATAATAGTTATATATTATAAATACATAATAATAGTGGTGTTGGTAAAAGCTAATAAATTACTTGTGAGTATGGTATTTTTAAGCGCTACCTACTATGATGCTACAGCTGTGAATACATACTAGACCAAGAAAGTTGGTCATTCACTACTATTTGTGTAGAGGATTTTTAAGGAGAAAGTGCCATCAAACCATCGAATTACGTCACCTAACAGGTTGGTAAAAAATAGGCGGGAATACATTAGTATGGTTAACCATGTACATAAGTAACCTTGTTGTAATTACATAATCAATGTTTACATGTCATCAACAACTCTACATGGACACATATACAAAAGCATAGTGAAGTTTCGTGAAATAAGATACCAAAACAGGGCTAGACAAAGATCGTAAACAAAACATACCTTCGTCACTGTCCTCGACTGGGGGTGCTGATGGTAACGTGTCGTCTCTGTCCCTATATTCGTCCAGATCGTCGTACCCATCGTCCTCGAAGTCATACTCGTCCCCGGGGCCCGAATATGATCCTTGGCAAGACATAGTCGAGGCGACGCGTAATAGTTGCATACAGATTGGGTGCGATCACCGTCTCAGAAACAAACTCTGACAACGAGTAACACCGATAACGACACGAGCAACAAATGGCAATCACCAGTTATGTCACTCATATAAAGAATTTAACATAAAATTCACTTCAATGAAAAAATGAAATTGGAGCAAATTGAAGCTGTTTTACGTCAAACTGGACAAAAGCATCATGTTACCCTTTCAAAACGAAAAGATCAACAAAAAAGAACTACTGGCGCTAGTGATGCGTCATAAACAATGAGAGTGAAGGAAAGGTCCGATTGTTTCTCTAACTGCACGTCATTTTAGGAACGATCGAGTTAAACCATAAACTAAAGACCATCTTTATGGGTAATCGACTAAAGGCACGGAATCGTTTTTCAATAACAATGTTAATAAAGAAATGAAAATCGATGCTATTGTTTATTATGGATGTAAAATAAGCCAAAATGTATTAACCACATTAATTTATATAAGAAAATAGAATATTTAGAATAAGAATGATAGCAAAAACAAGTTTTCTTCGTCACTGAGATTAATAAAATATTTTTGTTGTTTAATTATAGATTTTTTATTTGTTTTACTAAGTTCCAACTATTTGATTGTAATGAAACTAATTGTATGTTATAAAACTTATGAAATAGATAAAAACGGCTGAATTTGGACTAATTCGTTGTGTTGATAAAATGTGCTAGTCCAGGGCATCTATCTATATACCTTTCAACCAAATTGTTCACAAACGTACATCCATATACTCTCACTAACTTTCACATTTATTTATAGTAATTAGTAGGAAGGCAATGAATTAAAATATATATTTTCAAATCGCCTAAAAATATTGCGTAAAATCGTTCTAAGTTTACACAACGTTCACCTAGTTTAAAAAGTTTGTTTGTTTTGTCTATTGTTATGATTTGACGTCACGAAGGTGGACGTCAGCCTAGCGCAACTTAGAAGAAAAATAAAAATGTATGGGCTTGGCACGGCAAATAATGGCACACGGAAGTAGCCGGATAATGCCATCCCACTCCCTCAGTACAGTTCTCTTTCTTTCACTAATCCGTCGGCCATTTTGTTTGAAGTTTTGAACTTTGAATTTCGTTGCTTTTGTAAGTTTATGTTGTTATTTTCATAATTTCATAAATTTACGTATAATTTGTTTAGTTAATTAGTGGTTAGTGATACGGCTGTGACTAGTTACGTGTTCAAGTAAAATGCCACCAAAAAAACGGTTTCTAACTTGTGAAATCTGCGGTGGACGATCCGGTCGTAAAAATGGCGAGAAAAGGATGTTTATGGCGAAATTTACTTTGGATGAGGACCGGTAAGCATTAAATGATGAATTTTATTTAATTCTAAGTATAAAAGGCTACAAATACTTGTAAATTGATTTTCATGTACTTATTGTGTACTAGTGATGTACCTCAAGTATCGATAGTCACAGACTTATGTGTGGGCTAAACTCCAAAGATCCCTTGATTTATTTATTATTACGTGATTTACTTTCCAGACCACACCAAAGAAGTAATGATGTTATTAGATGTTGTTGAACAAAGTTGTGACACGACAAACCCAGTAGATTTTAAGAAATTAATGAATAAACGTAGATAAAAATTTATGTATACTGTATTCGTAAAATTTATGCATTTATTATATAAGGAACGCCAGCTGTTTACACAATTTAGAGTTATTCATGTCAGGGACTGTCCATTTTGAATTTTTCCATTTTTCAGGTGCCGGCAGTGGGTGAAAGTTGTTGGCAAAGAAGATTTAGTGTATGTGCCCATAGAACCAATTTACTGAACCAATATATGTATTAAGTATTAGAGTCCACTTAATTGAAATAATTTTAGTTAGGTCCTTAACACACCGTCCGTATATAACATGAATTTGAATATTATTACAAAAATATATTTTTTAGTTTTTAATATAACACAATGTTTTATTTCAAATCCGAACTTTATCTTAAAGATCGAAACTAAAAATTAAAAAAGTAATATGACCTCGATTTCTACCCTATAAATATTATCGATATCGATACTAAACCTAGTATACAGCTACCACAGAACTATTTGGTCTTTTAGGTTGGTACTATTGATTTTGACGGCTGACATCTTTTATTTATTGCAATGTAGGTATTAGAGTGCCGTGTAAATTGATTCCACTGGCTTGTATGGGAGTCCCGTCTCTTAAACGTAGTGGTTACATACTCTTTGGTGGACGTCATCTTGAATGAAAAATTCTTAATTTATTATTTATTTTGCTAAATTAAACACGTAACGCGGAGCTACAATCAGTGATAAACGATAAAATTAAACAACCCTGCCTGTGATGTATTCAATTAATATCAGTTCTGTGTCTAGCGAGTGAAGGTGATGCTATACGCTATTGTGTCGGTGATGTAATTTAGGTGATTGGGTGGCTTCCTAGTCCTAAGTACTAGCTACAATGGAAGAGTCCTCATTCACGATCCCGGCCGACGACAATGGTGATACTGAGCTCGACCCTAGAATACAGGTCAGTGAGTGAAAAATAATGTACTGAATAACTGTTATGGTAGGTCCCTGTAACTGCAAAGATGAGTGTCAACTTTGTCGATTATTTCGCCAACGAGCACAATGGATACGATATCTTATATCAAAACATGAAATACGGACTCATTGCCAGCAAAGAGCTCTCAGAGTACCTTAGGGAAAGGTCGAATATAGAAGAGACCAATTCGAAATCTTTAGCTAAACTAGCGAAACAAGCGAATAGTAATTGCGCGCAAGGTACGTTCGCTCCATTTTGGGGCGTATTAAAATGTTCCGCCGAGAAACTGTCGAACCTACACCAGCACATGTTCCAAAAACTGAGTGAACTGGTCAAAGATGTTGCCAGATATGCTGAAGAGCTTCATAAGAAGCACAAAGCTGTTAAAGACTCAGAGTCCAACACACTAGAGGTGGTGCTACTCATACAGAATACCAAACAAGCTTTACAGAAAGCCAAGGATGTATACACCAGTAAGTCAGCAGAGCTGGAGAAGCTGAGAAAAGATAATGCATCTGCTAAAGATATTGAGAAGGCTGAGGTTAAGATTAAGAAGCTACATGAAGACTACAAGCAATTAGCTGAAAAGTACAACCTGGTGAAACAAGACTTTGAAAAGAAAATGACCCAAACATGTAAACATTTTCAAGATGTTGAAGAAGCACATCTCAAACAAATGAAACAATTTGTGAACTCATATGCGGATATAATTCAGAACAATCATGACATGATGGGTCAAGTGCATCGAGATTTCAAGCATCAATGCATGGAGTTAACTGCTGAAAAACTGCTTGAGCAGTTCCTTATTGAAAAATATAATGCAATAGAGAAGGCAGTTTTAGTTGAACTACCTCTTTCATTACCTAAGCCTGGATCAGCAAACAACTCAATATCTGAGGCTGACCAGATATCAACTGTCTCAAATGGGTCACACAAACCTGCACAACCAGCTAAGGCACCAAAGAAGGAGCCATCATTTGCAAGTAAAACTTCAAGGAGAACTACCTCACTGTTGAATTTGTTTACCCCAAATTTCCAAAGCAAGGAGGAGCCCAGTGGAAGTATCGAGGGTGCGGCACCATGTTCTGCTCCATCCAGCCCAAGTGGTACACCAGCCACGCCAGTGGCACCCGATAAAGATGACAACATGGGCAGAACTACACTCAGAGAATCTAAATGGTTCTTGCGTAGTAGAAGAACTAAGCCTAAACTGAAAAAAGCAAAAAAGAAGAAGGATGAAATTTCAGAAAACTCAAATACTGGTGAAAAGTCTGATTTAGAAGAGAAAGAGGAAGAAGTACCTACAAAAGAAGATTTCATAAATTCCCCAGAAGTTGATGAAGAAGGATACTGTATTAGACCCAAAGATGAAAAAGGTAGTGTGTACTCCTCTACAGATTCAGATTCAGAAGAGGAGCGGGAACAGAAGATACATGTAGAAATAAAACCCATAAGTAATGGTTGCAATCCAATATCAGCAAGTGTAGATGAGCTCAGAGCTACAGTTGAAAATATATCTCTGTACAAAATTGGCACAAACAGGCGCGGGTCTAATGCGAACACTAGCAAAGCAAGCAGTGATTTATTAGACTTGAACTTCTTTCAAAGTCCGACAGTAAGCAACCCTGCGTCGCCACACGGCAATGTTTCTAATCCCTATGCCCCTCTACAAGGCAATCAGTCACACCTACTTGAAAGCCCTACTCCCGTTTCTAATGCTGAAGTCGGCGATCTCTTTTCGGAAGTAGGAGAAATGGGCCAAACGAACATCCGAACTTCTACTCCTACTATGTCATCCATCTCGCTCCCTCGTCCGCCTTCGAGACGCTCCGAAGGTGACTTCCGTACCGCCGGCTCCTCGGGGTCGCGCGGTCCTTCGCCGCTTACTATCGGTATGGCGGATACTATACCATTGGCTGTCGCTTTCCATGAGATTATTCATTCCTATTTCCGTGGTACGGAAGAATCAAAGTGCCAAGTTAAAATGTCAGGAGATATGATGCTCTCGTTTCCCACCGGCATCGTTGGCGTATTGGCTAACAATCCGAACCCAGCTAAATTGTGTTTCAGACTGAAAAACATTCATAGATTAGACAATGTGCTACCCAACAAACAATTGATTAGTATTAACACGATGATGTCGACTCGTGACAACACTGTGGTCGAGTTTAACATGCCCGCTTTAACCTCATTACTGAAACGGCAGTCTGAAAAGAATCCTACAGCGCAGTACTTCAACGTAGATATACTTAAATATCAAGTGCGACCCAAAGCCGGTGCCGCGTCATGTCCTCTCCAAATGGTGTCTTATTGGAAATGTGAACAAGATCATACAGACTTAAAAGTCGATTATAAATATAATTTGCATGCAATGAGTCCACCATCTCCACTGCTGAACGTATCAGTGTGCGTGCCTATGAATGGGGGAGTAAAGAACGTGATTGCGATGCCGAAAACGGCTTGGAGCGGAGAAAACGAACAAGCGATGTGGCGCTTCACTGAGCTATCGCAGCACTCGGAGGACAGGGGCGTAGGCTCGCTAAAGGCGCGCTTCGAGTTGGGCAAAGGTCCGTCTAGCAAAGCAACGATTTCGGCGCAATTCAATTGCGAGGGCGCGACCCTCTCCGGCATTGAGTTCGAATTAATAGGCAGCGGCTACCGACTGTCCCTCGTAAAGCGACGTTTCGTCTCTGGCAAATACATTTGTGATAGTGATTTGAACTGATTGGTCCAAAACACTTATGAATACACATGTTTGTATATAGATCTTGTTGTCGTATATTCGCGGCGTGTATATGGGATGTGTAGGTTTCTGTACTACATGTTTCTTGTGTGTATGTTTTGGTACCTTATAGGACTGTTTCCTGTCCACAAAAAATAATTTACAATAATGTATCACAACATTGTTTGTCAATTTTCGAGTTAAATTGTTAGTTGTTAATTTGGAAATTGTATTAATTAATGATTAGGGGTATAATTATGTTTCACATGTACTAACTTATTTTTCAGTATAGTTAATGTGCCATTTTTACTGTATTTTGTAAATTTCCATGTGAGAATCTGACTGTTGCACTAGTACACAATTATTTTGTTCACAAAACTACTAGCTAGGTACTCAGCCTATTTTTATAAAGATACATCACATACATAATTATTATATTGATTGAATATGCAAACTTTTTTCGTCAATCTACTTAGTCTTATCAAAGAATTGCAATAATTGAATTATTGTTTTGTTTACCTACTGCTGAGCAGATTTATTAAATAAATAAACCTCTGAATTTTATTTAGTAGTTGTATAACCCCAGGATATAAAGCTTTAAAGCAATAATACTATATCATTAACTTGGATGTGTTGTATGAAATAATTATCACTTGAAGTAATATTTTAAATAATTCTGAAGTCAATGATTGATATAGCAATTTCTCTTTAGATTAAAAAAACAGCAATTCCGTAATAATTATTAAAGCTTAAAATATTTTTGTTTGTACAATTGTGTTTTTGTGCTACCTACATCCGTTATATTTTTGTAAAGGCCTAAATAATTCAGCAACTATTAACAATGAGAAGGCCACAAACAACTATTGAAAAAAAAAATATAATTATATTTTTTAATATTTCATTTATATTATGTGAAATTTGACACTAAATTTATAATTAAATTTAAATGATAAATTGTGAATTGTAATCACATCATTTGCCACATTAAATATACTTTTGAATTAATTAGCAGCCAGTAAATATCATATCAATAAGATATCTGTAAAACGTTAAATCTCACTTATTTTTTTTATAACAATGAAGGATCAAAAAATATTGTCTGTTGCTCATTTGATTTTAGATTCCATAAATGTTGTCAACACTTGAGTGTGTACTATACCTACTTACTTTTTACCCAGTTCTTTTTATTATAATTAAATTCATAATTAATTATAATCCACTAGCTGCGCTCGCGCGGTTTCACCCGCTGCTCAGCTCTTTTTGATCATAGCACTTGGGAACATTGTAGCTATTTATTAGTGAAACAATTTTATTTCTTTATAATATTAGTATAGATTCGTTCAAATTTTAATAAATTAGTGTCAAATATCACTCAAGTAAATCATTATTTTCATTAGTTAATGTAACTATTTTTTTAGTTAGAAAAACATTACATTATTACTGCAAGTAAGATTCACTGAATCTCTGTGTTGCATAATGTACTGTCATTGTTTTTATTTAACTATTCAACGTATTTTAAACATGTTGATGTTTTATTTTTATAGTCAGCATTTAGTTTTCAACCACCGGAAAGGTTTTTTTGTTAATGTGGAAAATATTTTTTTATGTTTGCTATTACCATAATGAGAAGTAACATAATAAATAATTTAAACTCATTTATATGTAATCTCATATTGTAATTTTTATAATAAAATAAATATCATTAATTATCCCAGCGGCCTAATGTGAGTTACGAAAATAGCTAAGTGACTTACTTTACCAAAAGTTAACGTGTTCATATAATACAATTTATTATATTAAAGGTCAAACCATATAATAAATAGTACCTACAACTGAACCATTCCATTAATAATTATTACTATTATTGTCTCATAATTAAGTATTATTTTATTACTATTAAAATATCTATGTATCACAATTTTATTCTTTTTAATATTATAAAGGTGCATAGCTATTCGGCTGAGTTTAAAAAAAGAACGTATTCAAAAAATCTCGTCTTTCTTTTTATAAAAAAAAACTTAGATAAAAAAAAATTTTGCTAAATGCGTAATAAAATATTTTTGTAACGTAAAATTTATCGCATGTATGGATTATAATTATAATGTAACTATGTTAATTTGAAATAAAATGTAATTTAGCATTTATATGTAGTTATTTTATTAGTGTTTATGTTATCTTCACTATAGTTATTAATGAAATGGGCGTAAACTATGTAAGTAATGCTTTTTAGTTTGCTTTTCTTTGTAGGGACAGGAAACGTTCGTCGTATAAGGTACAGTTAGATAAAATGTGATTTTTTTGTCTTTTATCTAGACGTAAGTGATAAATGTTTGTATGTTGATAAAAGTTGATGAATCTATAGTAATGTCGCGGATGTTTCCCGTCTCTACATGTTGCTTGCTGTTACCATTCGTTTGGGAGTACAATGTGCGTGTGCCATGCAATTGTCTCAAGTTCTTCAATAACTTCCAGGTCGAGCTTGAGAAACTGAACGCAGCCACCGATGAGATCAATAAGCTGGAACTGGAACTAGACGTAAGTCACACCAATATTTTTCTCTTTTGACGATTAATTCAAATTAGCCTGTCTGTGATACGTATTTAGACTCTTCAACAAAATGTTCCGTTGCTATAATGGATTTAGTCATTTTTTAAGGATTATAGGTACATTTGGTAGATGGAGTGATTGTATCAGGATTTATCATAATTTCATTAAATTGTACTCAAATTAATCACTTACATTGTTTTAAATGATTCTAAAAGGTTCTTTATGAAGTCACAAAATACTCGAAATAACCTAAATTCTTACCTGAAATAAAGCTATAAAGAGACACGACAATACTTTTTGCCGCTAAAAGTATTTCACAAAAAGCAAACTACTTCTACCCGTTGTAATGGGAAATAACGTTTGACCTCTTTACGTCTTAATTCACAAATGTCACGAATTGAACATACCTTTTTTAAAATGGCGGCAGTGCAAAAAAAACATTATGGTACCCTTATAACTTGGCTTAGATATTTACAATGGAGAATACCTTACTTTAGTACAAATGTAGAATCAACTCAGGCAGGTTTTTCTATTCAACCCCGTGAACTCTATTTTTGTAGACAGGGTGTGACATTTTTGGGTTGGTCTAAATTAATTCCAACGACAGGAATGTTTAAAATTACCTAACTTACACTCTTTAACCCTCGGGAGGATACCAATTACTAGAGTTTTGTATTAAATATTTGTTCAGGCTGAAATTTTGGCTGGTTTACAGTTTTGCCCATTTTGCAATAAAAACACAAATAGACGATCGATGCGAACAGTCATTGTACCGTCACTGGTTGAGAGGGAGAGGATACCATTGTCTACTTGTGCTTTAACATTAAAGCACAAGGGCCAGACTCGCTCCAGCTTCACACGGGTGCATTGCTAATTCTAAAATTGTCCACTATTTAAAAGTCTATAATCCCTCGATTTAAAAAAATCTGCATCAAAATCCGTTGCGTAGTTTCAAAGATTTAAGCGGACATAGGGATATAGTGACAAAGAAAGCGACTTTGTTTTATACTATGTAGGTATTAGTGATGGTTCAAAAATGAAGTGACCCCTGCGAGCAATGTCTTCGTGACAAGTAACAGTGTTTAACGTCAGTAATAAGTGTTGAGTGTGCTATTTTTCCCATTTTGATTTTTCTACCCTAGTAGAACATCGCGAATTACTTGACATAACGGTATTAGAAGTACTTTAGTGAAATGTACAGTTCTCTTAACAAAGTCTTTATATTTGAAGGAGTAGAAAAACGTAGGAAGTTGCTCCTTAAACAAGCAGTCGCCATTGAGTCATCATGTGCGAAACATGAATATTTAATTATCACTTTGTGTAGACTGTAAATTCCACATTTATCTGCATTTCGCGCTACGTATGAGGAAATGTTCTGTAATCAGATACCTAATAGGTATTTAAAAAAAGATAGTCAGGTTCTGACGTATAGCTATTTTCGCTTGAAAGAAACTAAAGAGGTCTGGAGGATTTTAGTATCATGCAAGCACCTCGCTGCACTGAAAGACAAATAAACATTGTCGATGCAAAAGTGCGTTCTATCGAGATAATTGAAATAATATGCTTTGACTTTGAAATTAAGCTTCATTCTTTGTACAACCAGGACACATTTCTTTTCTAATCTCTATTTCCATAAATCCAAAATATGTCGTTAAGTAATTATTGTGTTACAAGCATTTATCAAAAAGGACTAACCGAAAACCCGATAAAACTTAAACTCCTTACTGTCACAACTCCGATAAAATTGTCGATGTTATCAAAAACAAGAAAGTGAATCTTCAAAACATAGAATCGATAAAGCATAACATTTGTTTTCTAATAATAACTGGCCTAGATAACAGATTATTAATGATTTACGACCAAAACGAGGTCTTAGAATCATTTCACTTCGTCATTGTGCTAAGTGGCGGATATTTTCACGAACTATTTTTATGTCTGGCAATGATTCATGGCATTTTATTGTCTAATATTGAAAGTGATGCCTTTAATCTAGGCACTTTAATAGGATGATAGGCTAAAAGCTTTGTTTTATTATAATTAATGAAATTTGCCCTATGTTCAACGATCATAAGGTTTAAGCAGAAATTCAGAAAGGACGAGGGCGTCAAAGGCCTTTTAATGTTTTGTTTCACTGACGTATATTTTATCTATTTCAGTTTATTTCTTTAGAATTACATTTAAATGTTGTCTCTTCAATCTTTTATGTTATCATTTTTAAATGGATTGAATAGAAAAGTCCAGTTGAAAGAATATCTAAAAGATGATGCTACGAATTTTCTCAGCCATTTTTCAAAGCTATCTTGCTGTCGCATAATACGCGATTTTTCTACCCGATTGAGCAACGACTGCAGTGGTTACCGTGCGAACAAGTGTAATTGATTGCAATCGATCGAACAAAGTTCACCTTTCAAGTCGCTACAATATTTAACGGAGTAAGTGAAGCCCTACGTTAGCACCAAAGGGGCCCTTTATCTAATTTTACAATGGCCTTGAGGAAACGTAGGCACATACCGACGGTAACTTAATATATTCTTCATATCTTGGGTAAATTGAATTCCAGATTTTGGCCCGTCCTGTATCGTAGGTAATACTCGTATAAGATTTTTCATATCATGATATCAGTTTTCCATTTTATATTATTTTCATGTTACATCGTGATTGAGACATTCGGAGCCCGGAGCATTAAGATAATTTCATGTTTGGAATTAATAGTATAGATATAACAAAGGTAACAAAACCTTTTCTGAGATGAAAGAAAAGGTATTCTACTAATATAAAAACTTACAAAAACAAGTGAACGGATCCGAATGATATTTGGCACAAAGATCTGTCTGGCATAACGTGTAGGCTACTTGTACTCTGCTACAGCGGACGAAGGCGCTAGCAGAAACTAGTGTATAATATTTGGAAGAAACTTTTGTGTACCACTCTGTCCTTTTGCTGCACAAGCAAGCTATTAAAAAGAGATTTGGCAGCAGAATCGTTCCGCTCGATAATTTTACCTACAAAATAACAACGGTTCTCTGAACACTAAGCATTAAAATTCATAAACCAACTTCCGAGTGATCGATTGAAATTTCCTAAAATATCTTCCATGTCCCCGTTACAGTTTACCGAGTAAAACGGAGTTTGGGGACCGTCTTTAGTAATTCACTCGGTCGGAGTAAATCAATTTGCTCAAGGCAATTTTTTTTCTTTGTTTAACTACGCTTTGAAGTTTAAGGCCCATTTCCCATGACAAAAAATGCCTCAATCAACGTTCATAATGTACGCGTTTATGTTTTATGGGAATTAGTTTATGTTTAAAGGTTATTTTTAGTCTTTTGTTAGTGATTTATGTGCCATTTCAAAGATTGTTTTGACCGTCATTTTATCGTGGACGTTAGATGAAGCAGACTTATAAATACCTCTTTCCGACCAATTTTTCTTTAAAGTCGTTGTGAGGTTTACGCTTAGCAAAATAATTCAACACCATATAGAATTTAATCCAATAAGTTCTATGAATAAATTGCCACTGCAATGTTCGTGTAGTTTTTTGTTGTGGTTCGTAAATCAGCTTAAGGCCCAGTTGGTAATTGCAGTGCCCCATATAATTACTGCGGGCTTGTGTATATTGTGCAGAAGTATAGTGCAGTGGTGTCGCCTAACAAACAAGATGAAAGAAATCCTGTTATGTCCGTTCCACTCCGTAGTTCAGCGAGACGGTCCGTTAACTAGGCTGTTTTTGCAAGGCCTACGCGATTACTTAGATAACTTAAGATTTTGAACTGAGATCACATCGTATCAACGTATCGAATATAGCCAAAGAGGTTTTAAGTCTTCAACAGGCACAGGTTTTTATTTAAATTGTAAAGGCTTTTGTCCTGTTATTGAAAATCAGAGTCGAAAATTGCACTAGTTTGATTTGGTAGTGTCAGTCGTCTCTCCAACCACTGGCTCACTCGAAGATTTAGTTCTTAATCCGTGTTGTCCGAGCAGAAACGGCGCTTTTGTTTTTGTAGCGTCATTGTTTGTCCTTATCAAAAGTGACGCAGTTAATCTTTATAACCATCTGTGTGTTAGTGACTGATTATATTAAAAACCTATACTCGATTACTCATTAAATAAAAAAGGTATTTATCGATAAGGAGTATAAATGTATGTATGTATGCTAATCTTTGTGAAAAAGTAGGATTTTACAAAAATCAATGCAGCGTATCTTGTATTTTTTTTAATTAAGTCTTAGTCACATTGCGGAAAGCACTTCACCTAGATAGTAGGCGCTTCACCTATTTACTACGTTATTTCCTATTTCTTTATTTATGTAGATTGGATTTCTGGAATCGGTTGTCCGTTTCCTTTATATCCTTTCAGCATCATCCAAAGCAAAGGCCTTTTCTCACATGGAGAAGGATTGAACTAATAATCACGTTTGCTAAATGCGGTTTGGAGGTTTCAAACTTTATATCAGAAATTGGTAGTCCATGTTTCCTCACGATATGCTCTTTCAGCAAGACAATGGTATCTAAATAATCTTAGAAAGTATGCTTATATAAGTCGGAAAAAGTCACTTAGTTTCGGCTACATGACTTGAACTTTAAACTTACTATTGAAAAATTGTTATCTGACATTTTACTTAAAGAAAAAGAGTTTGACGTTAAATCCCGCGAGCTAAACTTAGGAATTACCTTAAGAAAGAAGCCTGCCATAACTTCGTTCTACTTAGAAGGCGACAGATATGCTCCAGTTATCTTTTACGTCACATGCTGCATGTCCATTAATAAACCACGTACAGATTCGTTCGAGTTTTAGTATGATGCAGCTAGCCATGTAGCATATTAATAAGTAATATCAGAAATGCCAATGCATTGACATTTTAAAAGAGTCAAGGCGAGGCAAACCGCCTTTTGTATGCAGTTTAGAGCTAGAACTGCAACAGAATTGCTATCTAAACGCTTAAATTTCGTGTCAATCGGCACAGCAGTTTTTGATTTACACAATAGTCCAATGCATAAGATAGCTCCATAGAAAATGTCGCGTTTCAAAAGTATACAGTAGCTTTACTTTCACAAATAAATTCCTAGTTTTACGATCATTTCCGCCCCTCTTTGTTTTTGAAACTTTAATTGGTGTACTAGCCAGGAGTAAGTCGATACAAACGGTAGGCAGAGACAGGTGTGCAGCAGCTGTCAATAACCGAATATTCGTTTTATTATTCAAACTTAGCTTGCTACGCTACATGGGAATAGAGAAAAGTGAATTTAACATTTACTCTGTGCGTACTTTTGAATTTTCCGAGAATAGAAGACGCGATGTTTCGATTCAATAAACTTTTATGTAATTCACCAAACCCTGAGCGAACGCCGGCGTTCGCGCACTTATTGTCTTACTATGGTGTCTCATATTACTATGATTGAAAGGTTAAAATACTTAACATATAGATTATGAAGAATAATATAAAGAGTGAGAGAAAAGATTTGAGATATAGAAGAGTCCACAAGCATTGCTTGCCTAAACGAAAGCTTTAAACACAAATCATGGTTTATACACTCTTATATTTTGTAGAAAATACTCATAATTTTCATTTATACTAGACCTATTTATCTTTTTACCAATACCTCAGCACCTGTTCATAAAAAAATATATCAACTACAATACTATCAAACATACAAGGTGCGTCAACGAGCGATACGACGGAGGTCGGCGCGGGCGCAGCTAGCGTAGATTAGGTCAATTACAGCGGCCAACGTATGACTCCACATCATATTTGTGTGTGTGATGTAACTCTTAATATTTGTACCATTTGTAATATTTTGTTGGAATACGTGTACACTGGACACCTCTTTAGAAATGAGAATGTTGACATGCCAAATTTGGGCTTGTGGTATACTTAGGATTTTTGTGATTAAATAGTTCGTTATCTCACATTAAATTCAACATGTCAAATTTGCCTTAACTCGGGAACTATATACATGTACCGTAATTACTCGACTATATTTCTTAGATACCGTCTCCTTAATTTTTTTTATGGTATAAGTCGGCAAACGAGCAGACGGATAAACTGATGGTAAGCAATCGGCGCCGCCCATGGGCACCCGCAACACCAAATGAGTTACGAGTGCGTTGCCGGCCTTTTGGGGATATGAGTTGCGGATAAAAGGATCGGGAAGGGATAGGGGAAGGGGAGGGATTAGGCCTTCGGTAACCTCACTCACACGGCGAAACACAACGCTGGGTTGTTTCAACCCAGCGTTGTGTTTCGCCGTGTATTCTCGGAGGTATTCTCGGTATTCTCTGAGGCCGTGGTATCACCCCGGTCGAGCCGACCCATTCGTGCCGAAGCTTGGCTCTCCCACATTAATTATCTGTATTGGACTCAACCGTAGCATCGGTAGGGACAGAAACAATTTATAGAGCATCCTCATGAAGCAATTTAAGTCTCTGAATATATCATCATTACCGCCATGTCAGCTTACTATCCTCCATTACTGGGCAACCTTCTTTCAATACACACTGTATGTAGGACGGTTCAATCCATAGATCTGGAAGTGATTGGGAGAAGTCCATATTGTGCAGTGGCCATTTTGTAAGTGATATGCACATTATAAGAGGAATAACAAAAAAGGAGAAAACCTTCTTTTTTATTCGTCCATTTTCTCACACTGATTAGGATTGATCATTATTCATCACCATCAAACTTGCTCAATGTGGTTTAGGGTTTCAAAAATGAGCAGTGTCCATTTTCATTTATTTATTTATTTACACTTTTGCACATACATCTGTGTACAAGGTGGACTTAATGCCACAGGCATTCTCTCCCAATCTCACCATTTTGTGGGTGATTTGCACTTTTTAAGAGTAACATAAAAGGAAAACACCTTTAACAACCATTTTTTGTCCACAGGAGTCTATGAAAACATTCCATCTGCTGCTGAATGAGACTTCGCGGCGACTGCAGGCGTGGACCAAGCGGTTGGGAACGTGTGTGGACAAGTCCAGACCTTACTATGATGCCGTTGGAGTGGCAACTACTGCCAGACAAGAGTGCCAGAAAGCTGCTGTGCAGTTCCAGAGGGCTAGTGGTGAGTGACATCTATTTGTGAAGTTTTGAGCTCTGTGTGTAGAAGAGTGCAGTCTGTCGTTCCATATCCCATAAAAAGGAAAAGGATTTCCTTATGGGATACCAAAGACAGATAGACAAAGGGCTTTATCTTTCTTTAACAGATTAAAACCTACAGGGAAGCATAATTGGCATGCCATATGTTTTCTAAACATCCATTCAAAAACCTATATATTCTAATTTAAAAGTAGAAAATCTGCTTAATTTATTTAACTGCTCATATAAAATGTCCCAAAAATAAATGGAGAATTTACTTATAACTAAATATAAATGCTTTTCTGTGGAATCAATTACGAAAACGCGAGAATATAATCAACTGTACACACTTTGATAGGACACGTACGAAAACAATACGTTGTTGTAGTGATTGATAGTTTCATATCAAAATATTTTTGTAAATTTATCGAAGTTAATTGTCTTTATCTAAGATTTATACTCACAAAATCTTGTGACACGCAGTTTTCATACTTAATTAATCGTAAATTATTTAGATAAGTACCCAATTATCTTAGGGACTTCCAATAAATATCAAATCAAAATTAACAATAAATTGTTTTTGATATATGTCTGAACTTATAAAACTGCATTTTGATCCTTATTCCAAAGCACGGACGGTTTTCGTAATAAATTCGATGCGGAAATTGAAGCTGATATATAATGGATTATGTAAGACAAATATTTTGTTTCCACATAACTTGAATCGATACGTAGGTAACTGACATGGCGACGCGATTCTTTTATCCCGCGAGTCCGATCCCGAATTGGCAACTCTGCCAACTTGTAAAAGGTACTCCGAATATGATAAACATTTTTATTTGCAAGATAACCTTAGGGATTTGTGTATTGTTCGCGTAGCATATTATGTTAGGGGAAATTTCTATTTCATTGGGAAGCGGAAGTAGCTGTTTGTTTGATGAGAGTAATACAAGCGTTTGTGATACGGTAAGGGCATTTGTGGATACGTGGTTTTGAGAAGCACTATGATTTCTTCTTTGTACTAATGAAACCCACAACTGCCAGATGGATCATTGCTTCTGGGTGTAACCAGCCAATGTAAAATCTGTTTTTTTTTCCTTTGGAAAAAAATATATAAAGTTAATATTCAATTAAAATTCTTTCAAATTCCTAAATATTTGTAATCTATTTATACAATATAAATGAATCGCATAACTCAACAATGCCTGGACCTTGCTTCGTTGTTGTCAGGACAAGGTTCTTATGATAGAAGATTTACCCTTCCTTCATTGGCGAGATAGTTGGATACCCGGTCGGCTAGTATTCTATAAAGATACTCATCTGCTTGGCCTTAACCTTTACCCCGGCTCTTTTCTAATTTCCGTCTACGATCCATCCTACTGAACGCAATATCCGATATCCATATTTTTGCCCGTAGTTTTGCTAATAATGTTTCCAAGACACCATTTTATTGAAGAAAGGATGTCTGGAACGGACATAGTTATAGTTTTGGTCCATTTATGTTGAGCTTATTTTTGTGAGGAGTGTTAAATAAATGTTTTGAAGTTTGACCTCTTTAACTATGTATGTATAGCCTCTGAGAAAGTCACAACGACATGGTTATTCTTCTTTTAGAATTATGATAAATTCTTTAAGGCTCTGACTTAGGAGACGGTAAATCATTAAAGTTTCTTTCGGCAATCTGTAATCATGGCTATATTAACACCATCGTCCTGATTTATAAGAAGAATCGTGACATATTTCATTTGCTGGACAAATGCATACTAAGAAATAAATGAAATATAAGTATACGAAAGCAAATAATAAATGAATAAATGATGTCCTATCACAAATACTGCACAACTAACTACAACACATTAATATGAGTTCGTGTTAATAGTTACTAGGCCTCGTTATATTTGCCCATATCACGCAATAATACATATAAAGTCGTTGACCCCAAATTATTCCAGTAGCAAATATAACAAAATAAAGGTATTAAGGCTCTTGATCATTTAGTTAGTTTTCACTCTGTTTAATTAAACCACATCGTTAACGCGTACGTTCACCTTAATTCCAGTAAAATGTAGCTTTCAGTATAATTTGTTACATTTTAATAGTTTAATTTGTACTATTTAGACTATTCCCTAGACTCTGATATTAAGCCCTTTAACATGGTTTATGAATAATTGTGGAGCACGTAATTACCCATAATAGATACTATTCGTATTTTTGGAAAGCATAGGTAGTAATGTAGGTTTAGACCATCAATATTCTAGATAAACCGAGCTAGTGCGTGTCGAACTCGCGTCCTAACTATCAAAATTACGTTATATGAAAGCCGCCTAAAATAGTTAGTATTTAGTATCTGTTGTTATAAGCAACATACCACCTGCCCAAATTTTAACTGCCTAGATATCACTGTTATTGAGATTTAGTCCAGTGACAAACAGATATAGACGGACCGACTGTGAAGTCTTAGTGATTGGATTCCCGTTTTTACGCCTTGCGTACGGACACTTAAAACGATGGTTTTTCACGTAAACACCTACAAAATATTTAATTGAGGTTTTCCAAACAGAAGCTCGTATTTTTTTCAGGGTTGGCAATGCACAAGCCTTATATTTAGTACTAGTTTTCTGGAACAAAAATTCATTTTCTGCGAATATTTATGATTAATATTCTATTAAGTACTATTAATATATACATTTGAATTCCTAATACCTATACATATATGACTAGTTTTGCCTAACTACACCAGTATTTCTAACGAGCATGTATACACATAATAATAGGCATTTCAATAACATTCTATTCATACGAGAAAATGCCATGTTTTCAATGATGTGATGACGCGGCCCTTACATAACTAGGGAAAGTAACTTTAATGATACGTTGAAGGTAATGAGAAGACTTGTATGTTTGTCCTACTAATGACGCTCGTTACTGCCTAAAGGCCACATTTTTTACGTTTTTGCTGTGCTGTATGGCAATTTTGTCTCTTTAAAGTTATAATTTTACCGTTTTTACCGGGTTTTACCGTTTGATTAAAAATATCGGTGGCCGAATACTCTCCCTTCCTTTCTCCAACGGTCAATTCTCTAAAAAACCTCCAAAGGCTGGTACAGCACTTGTGGTTTTAGAGTTCAGGGTGTCTATGGGCGACACCGATTGCTAGTCCTCGTATAATATGCCTTTTCGTTTTCCGCCTTATCACATTAAAAATAATATTTTTATATAAAGCAGACCATAGTTGAGTAGTGGACTATTAGGCTTTTCGTGTTAATTTCATGTCATATCACAAACAAAGATATTATTTTACTCAAACAGAAAAAATACCATAATTACATAGTAAAAATCACCTAAAAGTTTGTTCATGAATTGTGTAACTACATTATTCAATCCGGAACTGGCAGGAAGCCAGAAAAAATGGGAAAATGGGATGAGAAATATAATAATTAACTTATTTGTACGATGAAATGGAATTGTATAACACAAGAATACATGAAAAATTGATTCAGTCATAGGCTCCAGGAATTAGAGGTTAAGTGTTAGGTTGTATGTAGTGCTAGACTTTTATGTTTTTCCATGTAGCTGGTTACAAGTGTATGTTCATATTTTTTATAACCATATAAGATATTTAATTGTTTTACAATGTGTATATCATCACTACATAGTATAAAATAAAATCGCTTTCTCTGTTCCTATATCTCCTGTACGCTTAAATATTTAAAACTACGCAACGAATTTTGTTTCGGTTTGTTTTTATAGATTGAAGAGAAAAGTTTATATGTATAGATAGAACATCCATTAGAGTAAAAATATTTAGTATCAGCATTGCACATGAATGTGCGCATCCGGGTGGCTATTTAGTCAATAATATTAACGGTTTCGATCTGAACTTCAGCTGGATCTGGCCAGGACTTCTGTATCGATAGCAAATTACTTTTGAAAAGGCCAAAAAGCAGTGGAATTGCAGTTTTCTTCCCTTATTTATACAAGTCATAATGGTATACCAAACATCTTCATGGCTGGAAGACTATCTTTCCACCTTCTTCAAACCCTTGACCTCGACAGTTGGCATTCCAAGCATTTTGATTGGTGCACAAATAGATAAATTGGCACAAATCGCTTGGGTGCCTTATCTGGCGGACTTCCTGCGGGCGACCGGGCCCCGAGGGTCGAGGGGTCAAGGTCACTGAATATTTGATAATGTTTGAAGGTCCGTGCTAATTGCCAGGCGGCCTGCGAAGGTCACTTTGTCAATTAGGATTAATGTGATAACGCTAGCTTATGAAGGTGAATTGATGTATAATCTGCATACATGATGTATAAGGGTAGTGGGTGTTTGTTGTGGCTATTTAGACATTACGGTAGCTGCGGAGAGTAACCTCCATGCCTGTGGAAATTTGACAGAACTTCTGATTGATGATCTGTCGCTTACCACGCCTCTCCTTGCAATTCTTGAGGGTGGGTTATTCTTGGGTTCAATATCTATCAACATATTACCAGGAAGGTCTAGTAATGTTGTTCTTTTTTTGTTAAATCTTCCAAAAAAGCCTTTTTACTTAGACGAACAGGATGATTAAATTGCCAAATTAAATTACTTTCGCCAAGAAAACATTTTGGGTTAAGAATAACATTCACCCATTTATGTTTAGCCTTCCATTATAGAAGGAAAGGGGGTGAACAACGATACGCACACCGGGAAACGGAAATCCGTACGAGCTCCCGTCAGAAAGGTCTTTTTCACACTAAAAACCTTTTTTATAGCTTTAGCGGTATAATTGATCAATAACAATAAAAACTGAGGCCAAGGTTGTCCAAATAATACGTTGGTATTATTTGTGTTTAAATTGGAATGTCTAAGATAAATAGACTATGTTATCAGCGCTAGTTGGAACCCGCAAGTATCTGGTCATTTGGATAGATATTACTGCAATGTTGTCCATAATTTTTTTTATGGTAAAACTTATCACCTGATTGTATTAATTGTCACCCGCGTTC